GGCATATGTTTTTCCTTTTCAGTAAACCTTTTAGTGTGTTTTGTGGAACTGACGGAGTCTTTAAGAAGCTATTTGGAAGCAGCAATCAGGGTTTTCAAGAAGGATATTGTCACTGTTTATCATAGTCTGTTATTTCTCCCAGATGGAGAGTGAAACCTCTGAGGCATCAGAAAACATCAAGGCTGGGCCAGACACATATGACTTTACCAGCTGTGGATGTATCTAGGATTCCCCACAGAGACTGGGGCCTCATTATGCTACCAGGCAAACTTACAAGAAGAAAAAATTCCCACCTGCAGAGGACTTACTACCTAAAGACATAAAAGAAGCTAACGAAGCCAGAGGCATGAATATGGTAATCTTTCCCAAATGTTTTTCTCTCACATCTTTTCCTTTCCAATGTTTTTAAGCTCTGCATCTCACCCTCTTTCCCACTTTGAATGACAAGGAGCACGAGCATGTGTCTTTTGGCAGAGCAGATGGTACCTGCGGCTCTCCACGTGGCACAGGCTGTTATGTGCCTCTAGCTGCTGCTGACAACTCCTCCTCCAAGGTACTTTGTCATGGAGCTGCTATTGATGTCACAGATCCCTGCTGACTGGCACTGGCACAGCCAGGCACAATATTGGGCAGCCAGGAAGACACATGGCAGGTGGCAAAGCCCACACAGAAAATCCGGCAAGCAGAGGCATCTAGAGAGCCTGGAGGATGCTCAGAAGCAACGCCTGCTGAAACTGCAAAGTTTTCCTACTGCATATGAAAGGAAACTGCTGGATTAGCCATGGGCTCTGGGGGTTTTTTTCCCAATGTCCCTAGACTAAACTGGCAATCCCACACCACCGATACACACTGTTGTGCACTCAGGGCTGCAGAGCCCAGGCTGCCCTTTTGCTGAGGGCTGGCTCTGCCTCCTGCTCTTTGGGAAAGGGCTATTTCTGCACAGCTGTGGGAGGCTAGAGACTCCACAAGGCACAAACTGCCTCTGGAGAGAGCTCTGTTCTGCCAGCACTTGCACAGACTTCATCCTTCAGCCTTATCTTGAAAACATCTCCAGGGTTACATTTTCACCCCCCCAAGTGACACATATCAAAATTTCAACTGTTCTTTTCACTTACATGGAAATCTCCCCATCCCAAAAACCTCAGAATGCAGGACACCATTGCAAGTAAATATAAAGATCTAACTGAGATTGAGCACAACTGAGTATCAGAGATAGAAAGGACCTCTGAACCTGCACAGTAAAATGCTCACAGAACAGCAATGAAGTCCTGCTCAGACAGGCCAGGACTCATACCTCCATCTCCAGCATTTAGTGTGCTTCAGGTCCATTGCCCCAACCCAAAAATCAACAAAAACTCAGGAGAATTTTCCAAGTTGGTCTCTGAATCCCCTGCTCCTGGCAATCCTGAATTAGCCCACCCTCTTCACATCCACATTGTTTGTAGGCCTGAACTGCTTCCCCAGAGCCACTCAGATCAATCGCCAGTATCAGCTACAAAGTTTTACTTCCTTTGAATTCCCCTTGCAAATTAATCTCAACCAAGCTTTAAGAGGCCATGAAAACATACCAATTTCGAACACTGCTTGAAGCCTAAGGAAAAAGAGTCTCCTGGGACTGGAAATGTTTGTAAGTATGAATCCAATTAGTCCAGCTTCAAGGCTTTGATGAGAAATGCATCATCTGCACCTCTCTCCAAGAAGTTTGGCCATACCTGTGACACACATATGAGATGAGAGGAACCTTTGTCTGGAGCCAAATCCTGTATTTCAGCCTTGGAAACCAAATGTCAGGTATCCAGGAAGATGGCTGGGGGCCTCAGGCACTCCAGCTGACTGAGGAAGAGTCACATGGCATGGGTTTTCAGTGGGGCTGAAGGGTCAGGAATTGGATATAATGCAATCCACTGTGGGCTGTCTCCAGTTCCACAGCACTGTGTGCACAGAAGAGATATGGGCAAGACCACATCTCCAATAAAACTTCAACCTGCCCAGAGCTAGTTTGTGGCTGAGACCTACTACAATCCCTGTTCCCACTCACCAAGGAAGGGTACAGGAAGGGCTTTGATACAGCTACTCAGCTACAGCTACTCAGCTCAATATATATATATATATATTTATACCTCAGTGCTTCAGGAAATAAAACCTGTAAGATTCCTCATCCCTAATAAAATTTGAGCACTTCTGGCAAACATCAGTGCTAAAAGGAAAGCAGTGATACAACTAATATTGCTGCTCTTCCAGCTCTGAAGTTGTAAGAACCCTCCTTCTCAAGCCTGCTGCCTTTATGAGGATCTCTTCAGAAGCTCTTTCTTCGGCTGGGCTGAACACACTTTCCCTGGCTTCTCTTGCACAACAGACTTCCCACTCCTCTGAGAGCACTGGCAGCCTTTATTTGCACTTTCTTTACTCAAAATCATGCCTGAGTATAGAGGTCAGAGCCACACACAGGACTCCAGGTCTGACTCATGCTCATTTTATGCAGAAGTCCTTCTTTTACAGAAAATCCATGACTCAATATATCCTTTTTTTTCCATGGCCATGTCATCCCACAGGCAATTCATGCAGCCCACTTTTTCTCCTCCTGTTCCTGTTATGCCAGCCCTCAGGGATATCCACTCTGCTGCCCTGTGCCAACAAAGGGTTCCAGAATAATGCCATCAGGGTAGGACACTAACATAAGATGGACTATTTCATGACCCCAACACTGCATTTTGCTTTTCCAAGACAATCTAGCCTTGATCCCCCTTTCAAGTACCTGTCAGTATTTATCAGTATCCAAGCAAATTCTGAACTGAATCCCTCACATAAACAGTTTTATCACTTTACTTGTCTAAAAATCTAATTATCAAAGTACAAGATGCATTTCCCATTTATCCCCCATCCTTAAAAAAATACGTTTAGCCCTTGGCATAGCAGGATACTAGGCCAGTCTGTAGCTGCCTGGGTCACCTCATTTCCTGCACCTAAGTCCAGGCACTGTATTTCTCTTTCTCTGATACCCACATCCTCCCAAATTCAGAACATTTATGAGAACTTGCCTGCACAGGGGCCTGTCACCACTTCTCTGAGCTTTGAGAAAGTCACTGTCTGCTTAATTTCTCCCAAACACACTTGAGAGCATTCAGATCTTTCAGGGTGGTTTTCCACCTTCTGGAGTGTCATCGTTATCCACTGTGTCTTGCTGATTCTTGTTAACTCCCACTCCTTTCCCAGATTGTCACCATTTCTTTTTTTTGATTCTGTCAGGCAACTGTAGATGAAGCTTACCCCTCACGACCCCAGCATAAAGTGAGCTGAGCTATCTGCCTGTGCCTAAAAACAGCCTACAGGATCAGGTCAGAGGTGTGCACCCAGCACCTCAGTCAACCTCCTAAGATAAAAACTGGGAAAGCAAGACATTAAAGCCAAACACCAACTGAGTTAACTTATCAAGTGTGATAACCTTAGGAAGCAAAATGCCCACCTAAGAGGCTTAGGCCATAAATTAAAATACTCTCCCATGACTAAGACGGCCAACTCAGCTACCAGCACCGCCATCCACTTCCAAGACTGGAAGATCATTGAAGGTTTTCATTACAAAATTCTACACACCAAAAGAAACATGAAAGGTAAAGAACTTTTCCAAATAATAGTTTGAAAAACCTCCATGCTAAACCAAACAAAGCAGTTATCACAAACTAGCAGAGCTGTTTTCAGACGTAATTTAGCAAAGTTTACCCTCCTAAACTGTACTTCAAACTGCTTTTGAAATGTATGCCAAGTGGCTACAGGATGTTCACCTTGCTCTACCAAGTGACTGACGAGCATGATGCTATTCCTGAATGTTTGGCCTGTATAGAGATGGTAAAAGACACAAGCATACTGATTTCTTGATGGCCACTGGACAGCAGTAATCCTTGGTCACTGATACTCTAGTCCAGTAAGCAGCACCAAAGTCAAAGTCTCATTTTCTTTCAATGTTGAATGAAACCCAACTTCCTTTGACACCCTTTCTTTGATGCCCAGTGAGGTCAGAACAAATGAACTCAAAAGACAGCATAAAAGACACTTACACAACCGGTTGGGGTTAACATGTTGCTTCAGGAGATCGATGGAGCCGAGGCTGACAACAAGACGCCTTCCAAACCAGAAGGAGACCAGTGGCCCATATTTCTCATGAAGGTTTACAAGAAACTCATGTAAACTGCTGCTGACAATGATATCTGGCAGGTTGCCATCCCTGAGAAACACAGAGGATATCTGGTCATGAATAGCATCCTCTGCCAATGCTGAACTTCATCAATGTGGAGACAGAAACCACTTACTTTTCATCAGTTGGAGCCAGCCCAGGGATACCTGATGCTTGCCTAGATGCCTAGAGTAAAAGGAAATGCATCAATCTACATGAACTTCAGATTTTATAGAGGTCCCACAGGTTTCCAGGAGGAGAGATGAATTTTCCACACCAATACTCCTACACTACTTACAAACATGAAACAGGAGCTGGGTATGCTACATCTGCAGGCTTTAAACCTGCTAAGCCGATAAAACCTCAACTCTGTGCCTGGTGCCACTGGCTAAACCAGGATTATTCATCTGGTTAGATGAAAGATGTCTGCGTAAAGATTTAAAGGGTCAAGTGTGCAATGTAGGGTATTACACACTGATTTGCCCTGGAGGCCTGCAAAAACGCAAGGCGAGCAGATGATCGCGCCTTTGGAAAGCAGGATTCACTCCCGGAGCACGTAAAGCAGGATTGCGGGGCTGCGCTGTCCCGGGAACGCCCTGCCCGGCAGCTTCTCCCGCAGGCCTCCGCCACGTCCCGCCCGAGCCCAGGGGCTGTGGGACGGGCCCGGGGCTGCCTCGGCCGCGCGGCCGCTCGCTCTCCGCCCGCCTGCGCCGGGGGCCGGGCCGGGCCGAGCGCCCCCCGCCCCACAGCCGGCCGCATTACCGGGTACAGGTAGAGCACGGCGCCCACGAGGATGAGCAGGAAAGTGACGGCGAAGATGGCGAAGTCCAGCATGGCCAGGCCGGGGCGGTGGAGCGGCGGCGGCTCGGCCCCACCCCGGGACCGCCGGCGGGGCAGGAAGGGGCGGACCGGGCTGGGCCGGTGCACGGCTCAGCTCGGCTCGGCTCGGCATGGGGGGTCCGCGGCGCCTGCTGCTGATCTCCAACTCCACCCTGCACGGAGGAGGGTACCTGGGCCACTGCCAGCAGCACATCCAGCGCTTCCTCGGGCAGTAAGCGCCGTGCAGGGCTGCGGGACGCGCCCGGCCCCGCCTCCGCCGTGCCGACCGCTCTCTCCCCTCTCTTCCCTCTCTTCTCCCAGGAAGGTGAAGCGGGTGCTGTTCATCCCCTACGCCCTGCACGACCGCGACGCCTACGCCCGCACGGCCAGGGAGAAGTTTGAAAGCCTGGGTAAGGCCGGCCCGGCTGCTGCGGCCACGCCGGCTGTGCCCGGCGCTGCCGGGCCGGCACCGGGCACGGGGAGCAGGGTGCGGGCACGGAGCGGCCGCGGGACACACGGGCTGGGCTGGGCTGCTGCGGTACCGCCAGCAAGGGCACTGAGCAGCCGGAGTCGGCTGCGGACTTCTGTCTGGAAGGAGATGTTTTAGAGGCCTCCAGAAGAAATCCTGCTGCACACACTTCTGCCCACTCCAGGGAGGAAGATTTTATCCCTAAGTGGCATCTTTTTATCCTTCTTAATCACATGAGGGAACATTTCTTCCCATATATCTTAAACCTCTGCTCAAGCCACTGGTTTTAAGTGAAGACCATTGCTTAAAGCACATTAAGGAGCCAGATAGTTCCATGATGGACAGCAGCTGAACTTTGCTTGGAGCAAAGATCTCTGCAGAGCAGTATACAGCAAGACCTCCACCTAGTTTCTATCACTGTTTAGGGTAACTTTGGACTCGTTAGTGTAGTAATAATCAGTACTCACTTGCCTGGGCAGCACACTTTGCTCCTTGACTTGCAGGAAGATTGCTGCTATCAAATGCCTATGTTCTTCTGTCTCTCTTGATGCTTCCTGTACTCAGTGAACCCCAGCAAGGGAAATCTATCAAAGTCAGACATTCTAACAAAAACAATGCTCAGATTAGGTATTTGCACAAGCAATGCTAGAACCAACACGTCCCATCAGACTTCAGCATAGCCAAGCTGAGGACTAACAGCTTTTTCCTCATTTTCTAGTTACCTGGTAATGCTCAGCAGGGTATTGTGCCTGAACCTGCACCTGCTAAGTGAAATGCTCAGCTCCTAGACTCTGAGTGCATATCTCCACAAAATGAACATTTCCTTTTGTGCAGCTGGGTGCTGAAGCCCTGCACTAATATAGGATGTACACTCTGTTTTACATTGTAGAGTTTTCTGAAATTTCCCTGACTGAGACATTTGGCTCAGGGTTCGAGGAGGTGGGCAGGGAGGCAGTGAACATAACCTATTCTTCCACCAAACTGACATGGCAAAGGTAAATATTTTTCATTTAAGGTTATGGGCTGGACAGCATTCATGAATCTTGTGATCCAGTGGAAGCCATAAGGAAATCTGAAGCAATATTTATTGGTAAGTTTTATTTCTTACTCCCCAGTGAAGGTTTTTATAGGGCATTGGATTAGTCCTGCTCAGAGGTGGCACTGAAGACCAACAATTAAACAGTTAGGCCTAGTAATTAGAAACTACAGAAGACAGTAATTGGGAGCCCTAAGACTAAATTTAGTGGTGGGCTGGAAAGTAGATTTATTAATGGAACTTCATCTCCAGTAAATTTCAAATTATTATTTTGAACAGTACCTCAGTGTAAAAATATGATCATAACAGCTGTATCATCACTTTAGCAAGCCCAAGAAGTTCTAGTCCTAATACCATGGTCCTGGGCATTGGAAGAGAGGTCACTGTCAAACAGTGGCAGCCTTACAAGGATGACTTAGGGCATGCCCATGGCCTGCCCAGTGACCATTCTTCTGAAGCTTCTGGTTTTACTGCTTCTCAAAGCAGGATACTGCCCTGAATAGAGCATAGAACTCATAGTGCCTGCCAAGTTTGCAAAGGCTTCAATTAAAACTGATGGTGAAAGCATGTTAAATAAGCTGAACTTTCTTTCTGCAGGAGGTGGGAACACATTCCGTCTCCTGAAAGCTCTTTATGACAACAGTCTGATACATGAGATCAGGAAGAGAGTTCTTGAGGTAAAACTACAGATTCTGGCCAAGTCTGAATGGCTGGATCTCATGCATGATCTTTTGTTCAGTCAAATCCAAGCTGATTCTGCATTTTTGTCTCTAATATACTTCAGATGTTGAGCCATCTCAAACAGCCTGGTGAACTGAAAACCATGGCCAAATAAGGCTGTTACTGAGTCATTGAAAAGACTTCAGGTCAGCAGTCTGTCTTCCTAGAGCAGTTTTCTAGATGCTGGATTGCAAGACCTTGGGATGTACAATTCTACATAGAACCCTAGAAGTAAATTGCTCAAAATACCAGTCAAAAGACCAGTGCAGGATTTAATCTACGCCCAGAAACCCTGTTTTTCAGCTTGAGATGTCCACTTTATATCTCACTGATATAGATGTGTTCATGTTGCAGGTTGTCTGCTAATAAGCTGGTGATAAAGTTGGATCCATATGTGCCTTTTAGACAGTGTCCTGTTGTTGAAAATGATGTAATTCTTGTATCTCCTTGGAACTGAGAGGTGTGAATGCCCCTCTGGTGAGCAGCACCAGTCTAGCTAGTGAATCTCATAAGGCTCAGCAAAGATATACCATCTCTGGAGGAGGAGAGAAGCAAGGTGTTCCATAGCAATGTGGAACTGCAAATGACTTCATATAGATTTATAAAACTAACAGTAAGGCCAGCTGCCAAGAATAAAGGTTAGCTAGGCTTATCTTAATATATAGAAATTCAGTGTCTGTTGTGGGAATGAAAGCCAGAAAACATCCAAATGCCAGTTAAGTCTGGATAACTACTTGGTTATATTATCACCAGTTGTCTGAAGACAGCTCTATTTTTACAAATTGTTCAGCATTACCTGTATACTTGCATATTTGTGTGGCATTCTTCTATGTACAGCACAGTACTCAGTACTGATAGCTAAACAATGGTCATGGTTCTGGTAAGTTGATGCTGTGACAACACTGCACTGAGTTTCCAATGGCCCACTCTCTTCAGGAGCTACTTCAAAGCCAGTTCAGATATTTCCTGTAACTGCAATAGAAGCAAGTCTCTCCTCTTAATAGCAAAGTATCAACATGCACTGACAGCCTGGTAAATTCTCTCTTGGGGGGTCAGAGAGTTGTGAGTACAAGGCAGGCAGCAGTTAGTTCTCTGACACAGAGAAGCTACTGCCCACCTCAGAACCTGAATTCTTGTTCTGCTTTTCACCTGTAAAGGTAACAGTGAGAGGAGCTGGAAGCACTAAGTCTGATGTGACTGATGGGTTTCTGAGATTGATAGAAGATGGTATAAAATTGAGTTACTAGTTGTGCTGCAGACTGATCATTGCTTTTGTCTTTCAGGACGGGATTCCCTACATGGGATCCAGCGCAGGAACCAACGTTGCTACTGTCAGCATCAATACCACCAATGACATGCCAATTGTTTATCCACCTTCCCTGCAGGCTCTAGGATTAGTTCCTTTTAATATTAACCCCCACTACCTGGACCCAGACATTAAAAGAACTCACATGGGTGTAAGTAAAGCACACCAGAACTAACACAGTAACTAGGGTGTGGAGGAGTAAAAATAGTGTGCATTTTTGAGGCCTTATAAAGCTATAGAATGTCAAACAGCTGCTCCCTAGAGAAACTGGAAATGCCAATGAGGCAATAACACTTCACTTCCTCCTAAAACTTAACTTTGCTTGGGAAGAGGAGTTGGCAACAGTATTACTGAACAAAGTGTTTTTCACAAACAGAAGCTCTGCAATGTTTGAAATACTGCTGAAATGCTGGATATCTGGCATGGAATGGGGGAATTAAAAAAAGAAAAGATAAACCTGAAGTGTTAAGATGCAAAGCACTGCAGTTCTGGAAAGTTCTGTCTTACCTGCTGCTTGGGAAGACCTAACTTAAACACAGATTAAGAGGCTTAAGTATCTAAAGGTCTGAAGATACAATCAGAATAGGGAGATCTTGAGACTCAAACAGTTGTGTAAGAAAATACCTGGGCACTGGTGTCCTTGCAGCAAGCACAGCCGGTAATGTCCTGTAATGTCCATTACAGAGCAAGCACATGCACTAGTATAGCTGAAAGAAAAACACTTCAGCCATCAAGCACAAAGACAGATTTCCATACAGTGGGGAGGAGCTCCTTCTTGAAACAGCATGTCAGCTAATTCCTCAGGGAACAATCTGTGTGGTGCATCTTTTAACAACCTAAATACTTTGCTCCTTGTAATCAAAATTCCATGGTTAGAGGAAGTATTAAGAGTTAGGGAACAATGAAGAGATGGTAGATGCTTCTAGATGGGTGAAGAGATGGGTGTGCTTCTAGAATTTAGATGAAGTTGTAGGTATTCATTTAATCAGCTTGTCACTAGATAAGCAGGCAGTCTTTTCCCTATAAATAACTTCTTTTCTTTCTCTCAGAGGAGGCTGCAAGCCCTGTGCTGTACCAAGTCCCTGCTGTGTTCCTATGTTTTTATTTCTTTACTGTTGCTCAGTTCAGCAGCAAACCTCAGGAAACATGACAGAGCTGTTCATAGAAGGAAACTCTTCAGTGTAATACCTACTTGAAGACAAGCAAATACTTAATCACTGAAAATCCATGATTCACTACTTTCTTTCACAAAGGTGGCACCTCAGGCTTTTGTTTCTACCATTTTCCTGGAAGTATTAGTACTATCTCTGCACACAGAGATCGTACTAATTTAAACAAAAATGGATGAATTGAGTGGAACTAAGTTTTAAGGCTTTTTAGGGTTGGGATTATGTGAGTTCTGTTTGATCAACTTGCAGTAAATTGCTGCTAGTGATGAAGAGTAAAACATATCTATTAAATAGAGTAAATTCTGCCATCCCATTCTGCTTGAGGGGAAGTGCCTGCTTTGTTTAATGTTATGAAATGGTTTGGTGTCAGGTTGCCTGGATAGCTCCCAAGTCCTACCTTATGGCCTGGGAAGCTAAATCTGTGCTCATTATTGCAGGAGACAAGAGAGGAAAGAATCCACCAGTATCATGAAGAACCAAACACCCCTCCAGTTCTGGTGAGCAGTAGTTCTCCATCAGGAAGCTGTAGCATGATAAACATTTTAAATGCATTCATGCTGGCTCTCAGTGTGGGTTCCTCGCCTGTCAAGTTTTACAAAACCATGGATTGGAATGCTAATTGTATTCTTGCTAAGAGCTTGAGCCTTGGATATTGCTCATTGTAGAAAACGGATTAGGGCCAATGAAATGCATACTCCTATTAGTGCTGCTCAACACTATTTTAGGCAGCTCTGATCTTCCCAATCACTGGCCACCATATATTGGTGCTGGGGGTGTTGTGCACGCAGATGGTACAAAACTCCCCCTTAATCTTTTTGCAGATACTCTTAACTTTAATCTCTGTAATAGTTTCTGAATTTGCACATTCAGTAGTGTATACATAATTTGATTATGTCTGTCTGGGAAAGTGGGACCTCTGTGTTTCCTGTCCCTGTGTTTGATCTTGTACTATCAAGTTTATGCACTAACAAACCCAGCTGGCTATTGCTCAATCCAAAGTGGATCTAAGAATAACTGTGGGAAAAAACAGTTTCCTCCTCAATGATTTTTCCTTTAAGAGTGAAAACTGAAATAAACAAGTAAATCGACTTCTAAAACAAGATAACTCACCTATTTTTGTCTTTACCTCTTTGTTAAGTAAGCGAGAAGGTTTAGTCTGTAGTCATGGTGCCACTGAGACTGGCCTGCTTGTGACAAGTATTCTACCCTTTGACATAGCTTGAAAATAATTTTAAATGTTTCCACCTCCACCAGGGCTTGCGGGAAGGTACGATGCTGTTAGTGGAAGGAGATAAAGCCACGCTGCAAGGAGTGACAGGAGCACGTCTGTTTTTGAGGTAAGTGCATCACTTGAATTGATATCCTGCTTCAGACAGAAAGGAAGAGAGGCTTCTATTAGACTCCCGGCACGTGCTGCCTGTCCGCCCCCCCCAACAAGTTACTTAATCCCTTGACTCCATTTCTCTTTGGAGAAAATGTGAGTATTGTTTAATGCTCCAAAGGAGACAGAAGTATGACAGCACTTATGTTTCCAAATTCTAGTTACCTTTCACAGAAAGAGCCCCAATAGTCAGCTCCTTTATTGAAAGCCAGGGAAATGCCCATTTGGCCCTAATGCACTGAACTCCAGAACAAGGGAATCCACATCTAGAATTACATGGACTTTATTAAGAAATCTAAAATGCACATCATGTGATGGAATCAAAACTCTGCTTGTTCAGAATAAGGGTGCCTTGATCCATCCCTAGTAACAGATAGAAGCTGAGTAGTCTCACCTCCTATTAAAGCTCACAGCATGGTTTCTCTTGTTTGCAGGGGTAAGAAACCAACTGAACATGAGCCTGGAACAGATTTCAGTTTCCTCCTGACTGACAGCAATCCCCTGAATCCATAGCCTTCCATATTTTGCAGCAAAAGTTACTATATGGGGAAGACAATGAGGAAAAAGGAAACTCTGGGAAACTCTTGTTGTCCCAGAGTGGGTGTGGTATTTCAGATTTATAAATAAAGATAAATATGCATTAGTGGACTCTTTTCCTCACCCCAGTGCAATTCTCAAATACCTCCTTCCCAGCAAAGACAATTTTTATTGCAATACTTGGATAATCATAGCTATTCAAAGCTTGAAGGGGCCTATACATTCACATGTCCACTTTGATTCCTTCCCCACCAAAAAAAAAAGTTGCCTTAACACAATTAAGACAGGACACTGAGTCAGCTGTTCCTACTGCCTACTCTTACCTGCTACATAAAAGAACTGTTCATTCAGTGTACTCCCACACTTAGTTTAATTTTTGTGCTATTAATAAAGGAAGAAGTTATGCATTCAATTACTTTTATTTGCTTCAGACTCATGTTAAATATATACAATGCTAATTATGTACAAAAGTGTGCATGTTAAAAATTTTCAGGTTACAAACTTGCAAATCCTAGAAAAGTGCAAAATTTTAAAACATCTTCCACCATGCTGTACAGGAAAGAAATCCATCATTAGCCAATATACACACTCTTAAAACATATTGATCAAAACAAAGTAAGACAAAGTATACTCTTAAAGCACCCAGAGGGAAAAAGATATTGCACAGAAGACAGCAAGTTCATTATAGTGCCTGAAGGCTCATTTCTGAAAGTAGCTATTTCCAACACTTCTCAGACCTAACATTTAACTCTGAAAAGGCATTTTTTGGCATTTAAAGATCCATTTGTAATCACATAATTGCACAATATGTAAGAATTATCAGAAGATATGGTTAACTTTGCTGTAAGGCCTTTGCTTCCACCCCTGATTAGCTTCAGTAAAAATTCATCAGGCAAACTGAGTAGCATCACAGCTTCCATCAAAACACTGACCAAAGGGAGGTAAGTCTCACATGCACAATTTCTCTAATCTCGTCCTAAGTTGCTCCTGCAGAATCAGAATATGTACTGCAAGCTTTTCTTAAATGCTTTTTCCCCCCATGGCGTTCTTTAAGAAACATCTAACTGCTGCATATGACTAAAGTAGTACTGTCAGGTGCAAGACTTAAGTTTATTTTAAAGCTATTTCAAGGCAAAAAATATGGCTCCCTTGAGAGGAAAATACTGACTAGATAGGAAGCTAAATAAACAAGTAGCCTCCAAGTTCAGTTAAATCTATGATATACATGGCTGGATGTTTTATATTCCAATCTCAAAACACCTTAGCAGCTTTAAACCATAATCTATACTGACAATCATGCTTCTGGGACAGAAGATGTGTGATGAAATTATGTCTGTGCTGAGTATAAGCATAGATCTGAACTCTGGAAATACCTGCCAAATTTCTCAAGTCCACTGGACAAAACTAGGAAGCGCACACACTGAAGGAACTCTATTGAAAATAAGTGAAACACCTATTTTATTTGGGCCACATAGGTAAATGTTAACTAAAAGAAAGACACACCAGTCTTCTTCCACAGATGCACAGCAAAAAGGTGAGTTAAAACTGAACAAAGGCTACCTTGGACTAAACACTGCAAGCAGTTCCTCACTTATGGGGTGTTCAAGATTGCAGTAAGGTGAATGGAACTCAACTGAAATGCAGAGCATGCTATGGTGCCACTCAAGAATTTTTACATTCAGGCATCTGATCTCCATAACACTGAAGAAGGGAACAATAGCATTTTACCAAATTTAATTTTCTTTTTTTAATGCAGTAGCTTCTTAGAAAACTTCCTTCAAAAGTATGTGCTTACAAGGGCAATTTAGTAATAATAAGATTGGCTCCTTGGAATGAAAGACATCTTCCAAACACTTCAGTTGACTCTAACATTGGCATACAATGAACCCACATGTATATGATACCATGGAAACTTGCTCTCCCCAAAAGGACACTACCAACAAGTGTCATGTTTGCAGCCAAAATCAACACAGCTTTTAAGCCAGAAAGCATAAAAATACCTAGAAAGCACTGAAGCACATGCTTGAATTTCCATTCAAATAAATACAACTCTGTGTAGTGCTTTCACATAACAGTATTTATTAGATCAGGCCCTAGGCTCACTTTAGGGTATGCATTTAATGTGCACGCTTTTTTTTTAATTCTTTGAAAGGGAAAAAAAAATATTCACAGCACCTCAGCTCAGCATTTACCATAGTCAGCAAGGTGCCTTTAGCAGTGGAAGACAGGAATGTTTCAGGTGACAATACAGAGCATGTGTCTACAGAGACTCTCAATACAGGAGCAGAAGGAGGTCAACATCTCTACACCCCTTCTGGCTCTAAAGCTCCCTACCATTCTATAATCTGTATATAGATACACATTTTCAACTAATCACACATACACAGTAAAAGCTTTGTGCAGCATTTGGTTCCTTTACTTACCTTTTCTAATGATTTTGATAATTAAGATTGGAAAAGGTTTGCAAAGGAAACATGGAAGAGGAAGACATGGTTTAGGGAAGTGAGGTATACAGCTCCCATTGACTAAAGCAGGAGTTACCAAATCTGTGCATTACAAAAATAAATTTATCATTCTTGCAGGACTATTTAAAGAATTTTTCCTTTAGTTCTTTGCACTCATTTAAAGGACAAAGAAATACAACTTTCAAGGGAATCCTTATAAGACAGCCAATTGACTTGGCCATTTAAAGCCTGTGAAGACTGATACACCTGTTTTGGGATAATATACATGATCTAAGACATGCCATAGGGGAAAAACCTTGTTTATGTCAATGTTGCAGATTAGCAAAACAATTGTAATATGGATGTGGGTGAGTTTGGTTATTTTTGAGGGGAAGTTGTGAGAGTTGGGGGTAGTTTTGTTGGTTTAGTTTTTTTCTTTTTTTACTCTTTTTAATATCAAACAATTATTTTCCTAAGAACACCTAATTTCCACGATGTGTCTTAACCATCAGGACAAATGCAGTTACTTCAGGACTGGGATTATTATGTTGTGCTGCTAAGGTATATGGATGATAGAAGATGTGGTTTCTAGATATTCTATGAGCAAGTAATGGATAAGTATATTGGTTACAGAAAAATCTGCCTCAGTCAGATGCTAACTTGAAGAGCATTTCACTTTCTGTATGCTTGTATAGTTCAAACCCAGCAAAGACTAGATGGGATTCTTCACTCTAGCTAAAAAGACAACTAAAAATACTATCAATAATTATAAGTAAATTGATTTAGAGAAATTTAACAAACCTTCTAATTGAAATAAAGGAGACATGTCTTCTAAATATCCTTTGGTACGCAAGTTCAAAACTGTGTTACGAAGAAGTTAATACTGCTAACTACTTAATCTCATCTATATACAGGTATGAAAATTAGGTCAGTTTTCAGTTTCTTTTAGATATATATATATTTACACTCCAACTTACTCATCTTCAAAGGTAAGCATATGTTAAACTTTGATAAATATTATTAGAGTTGTTCCAAAAATCAAACATGTGAAGATATCACAAAGAAGATCTTGACAAATGTAGTGCTGTGAAATAAATTTCACTTAAGACTTGTTTGTTCTAAATTCTTCACTGGAATCCTGTAATCTCAAAACTTGACTTTTTACACTTAAAAAACCTTAGAACAAAGCCAAATGAGAATCTTATTTCACCAATACTACCTGAAAAACAAAATGGGATCCTAAGCTTTACTGACTGGAGGAAATCAAAGAATTATGAAAGTCAGTTCACCAATTCACAGTGCATAACAGGCTTCAAGTCAACTGACTAAACAGCTGATCAGAAGAATTATTTTCTATTTTTAAACATTATTGTCTACTTTTTATGCAAATAAGTTAAACCTAAAAGAAACAACATACCAGCTAATGCTCACACTTAACGACTCTTTTATTTAAAGCTGGTTTTAAACAAAGGCAAAGTGCAGACCTTCACAGCCACGGAGGTCCTTCCAGATGGCCTCTGGTAAGGATGCCAAGCTGTAATGGTGTACACCTCCCACCCCTAAGGACCAGATCTCAGATCCAAAGGCCATGGATGTTGCCATTCTACCTGAGGCAAAAGGAGCAGCTCAGAGCTCACCTGCCCCCTCCTCATTCTTCTGCTGCTGCTGCTTTGTACTGAGCACAAACCAGCCTTGAGTTTAAAAGCCTATGAACTGTCCACATTTAAACCTGTCCAAGGTATTTGTGATGATCACCCAGTGCTTGTGATGCACTGAAATTATGGTATTCAAATGTCAAAGGTCTTAATCATAAATAATTTCAACTATTACAACATTATATTTTACTTAAACGGACACACTGTATTCATTATTCTTTAATATTGAAAAATGTTAATTCAGCTGTTGTATAAACATATCTAACCCACAATAGGGTGTTTTAAAATGTGTATACAAACCCCTCTGTGCAAGTGACAAGAAGCAAACTGTGCTCCCACCAAATACTACATAAGCCACATCTCTCCCTTTTTCCACTTCATTCTCATAGCCTAAAACATGGTAATTTCCTGCCCCCTTCCCCCCCCAAATAAACACTTAGCCTTGTCTATGCATTTAAGCACAACATTAATGCATACCTACAAAAGCCGTCAATTCAATGCCCCAACTGAGTATTTTCAACCTCCCGTAAGACAGAAAGATCTCACATTCTGAGCTGAAATACTATTAAACTACTCTAGAAAGAGCTCCCCTGAAATCCCTTCTTCATGAAATCATCATGGACAAACATACTTCACATTCTCATGAACAAACTTAATACTTCCACAGTATCCTTAGTATTCTTACTGGATAGGTAATTGATGAAAAATAGTATTTTTCACTTCTCTATAGCTTAATTGAAAATATGCGATGTGGGTTAATTTACATTTTTTTACATACATGAAAAAAACCCACACCAATCTACTTTTGGAAGCTTAATCTTCTCTTGGCAAGCGACTCAGGAAAATTATTCTTATTTTCTCTTAACTTTCCAGACAATCCAGTCTGTCACAGTGATTAGGCAGAATATTGCAACTATGCATAGACCCACTTGTTCACTAATCTGATTTATTATTTCATTTACAAAAGTTAAGAAAATGCAACACAGCTTACTTTACAATCAGTCATC